CCCCAAAACCCCAAAACCCCAAAACCCCTAATTAAAAATATAGACAAGAAACTAATACAAAATTTCTAATATTAATAAATCTGCTGATAAATGGTAAGGACAATTCAATATTTATTTAGAATATCATTATTAAAGAATATAGGGAATATATTCGTGTATGATTATAAACTTTGCTCTTGTGCTAATCTTAAATCTGATGGTAGAATGCTTGGGAGATTGTGCAAAGTATGCTTTCCCTATGTTTCTGGGAGGAACGGATGATGTCACTAAAATTCTTGGGATGGATATTAATGACTTAACTTAAGAGATTGTTATTTCTGGAGTCAATCATGATTCTAAAGTTGCATTGGGTTCAGGTTCTTCAGGATATCCTTTTATTGCTTACCTAGAGTAAGGAAACGTTTATAGATGGGCAAAGGTTGTTCTAAGATAATATGATTAATATATTCAAGTCAGATTTGGCTATGAAAAAGAGCAAGTATTGGCAATGAGTGACAAAGAACCTCATACAATTATCATTCTTAATGTTAATGACGGATCATTGAAATGATTTTTTGAAAACATTGGGAAGGAATGGATATCACCTATTGGAGACATTTTTTATGCCTCTTCAAACCATTTCTTGAATAGCTTTATTGCGTCTGTTATGAAAACTTAAAGTGGACATTTTACTTTTGCTGCAATTGATTTAGTAGAGAATATTATTTATAAGTAAATAATAGATCTTAGAGGTTGGGCTACAGTTTTATAACTTTCTGGAGATGAAACTGTGTTTTATGTCGGAGGATTTTAAATAACTGGAGAAGGAATAATAGTTCCTGCACTTTAAGTTATTCGTTTTCATGCTGAAATTGTATAGAATTATTAGATATCTACACATTCTATCCCTACATCTGACATATTGTTTAATAGAATGTTTGTTGAGAGTTATACATTGAAAGACGTGATTTATATTGCAATAGGAATAGATTAATCAACATCAAACCCATAGTTTTAATTCTCTCATTTAGAAATTACTCACAATATTTTCACAACAAGCAGGGCTACATCCTATTAAGTCTCAAATTTAAAAATAAAGAAAGTTTTGTAAATTAATGGATATTAAAGGAAAGAAATCTAAGTGACAATAATTGATACGGAATAAATCTGTTCTCATTTATTTCTTAATTTACAGACTAACATTGTTACCAAAAAGAGTTTTGATCTATTCACATAGGGTTAATTTGATATCACAATAGCTGTAACCTCATCAATATACGGTGTAATTATAGCTGGTTTCACAAATAATATGAAGGGATATGACTCATTTGGTGGTACTAATCTATAGTTCAATTAGAGAATTGGATTTATAACAAATTCATTAGACTAATATAGATGCAGAGGATAATTTTAAGTTAATGGGACTTAATTAAGCTTAGATAAATTTACAAATGATGTGACGTCATTAAATGTATTAAATTAGGATCTATTTGGCTCTACTTATTACTATACTTCAGTTACATCTGAAAATATGGTAACAGATTTGATAAAAAATGAGTGCAAGCCAGTAAATAATTACTAAATATATCCTCAATCAAATATTACTGTAGAATTGCTTATTGGCAAAAGTAGCTAATTTTCATATAAAAACTTCACTAGTAATTGCTCTGAGGTCGCTGTTGATACTATAGTTTCAATTGAAGCAAACTAGAACATACCTTATTTGAAAGAATCATCTGAACTATAAGTATACTAATAAGAGCTAGTCTTCTTATTAGGAGTTTATGATAGAAAATTTGCTCAATCAGTACTAAATATTCAAGTAAAAGGAAATATATATAAATCCTGGCAGAGTAGCAGTTATATGATTATTGTCACACTAGTATTAGATTAGTGTGAGTTAATAGAAATAGAAGGCAGTTCGTTTAAAGATGTATTTTATGACCTTAGCAAAGGAAATTTCTAAACATTACAAATATTAGATTGGAAAAAAGTAAATCTGAAGGTTAACTGTAGCTTCTTCTATGATTTCACAGTATACAACATAAATTAGACGAGCCTAACCTAAAAAGTTAACGAAACCTTCGTTTTATATCAGTGAAATAAAATTATTACAAATAATATTCCTATGTCTGCAGCAGGCTTTAGTTATAATGTTACTGTAAAGGCTATTGTTAAAAACAGTACTACTGACACTAATTAAACCGTTTTTTAAAGGAGTTTTATTATGACTGTTGATAATACCTGCTAGTATAATTATTGTGTGATTCCAAGTAGTTTTTCTTAAAATTATCAACTATAGTTGCTCTAACAACTTTCCTTAAATTACACATCAAGCCTAAGATATAGCTATTGTGGGTATAATCAAGATAAACTTACATATTAATTCACATTAGGCTCTGCCTAGTTTATAACTATCCAACCAAGTTGGCAAAATTAATTGGTAATTTTGCCTACCACACTTATAGATGCTGGGTCGTGGACGATTGAAATAGCTTGCATTAATAATGTAATCAAAAGTTAGAATATTTCATCTTTTAGTATCCAAGTTTTACCACTGAAATTCAAGTATTCAATTGATTAAGATAAGTTTCAATTCCAAAATTATTTCAGTCTTAAAAAAGAGATTCTCATTTATACAAATCAAAAATTAGAACTACCAATTTTTATATCAGATGAAATTAAAGAGAATTTTTATCTAAACTATACTAAGAACGTTAAAATTGGCAATGCATTGGGATTTGTAAGTTTAGTAAATGATAAATTGATTATTAATCCATAAAAGAGGGATGTAGGCAATTTCGCAATAGAATTTATAATAGATGAGCGTTATTACAGTGAAAGTTTTAAGTTTACTATCGATGTAAAGGTGCTTGACCTATACTAAGGATCAAATAGTGAAAACTAAACAAGCAATATTTCAGAAATGAATCAAGATGGCTTTATTTAAAGTGATTTGCTTTTCCTAAAACTTAAAAATCTTAAAACCAGTAGATCAATTTCAGTCTAACTGACCAAAATATCTTTCAACGGTTTGGTCACAGTATAGTTCAATGACAGTTTGCTTATGCCTAAAAATTAATCAATAATAGAAATAGAGAAGGCTTTGAAATTTAGAGTGAGAAATGGATAAGATTCCTAAGTTAATGAGGAAAGGTAAAATGTAACAAACTTTAAAGTTACAAAAATACAAAGCAGGGCTATGTAATTTTAGTTGCAGTTTTCTAATCCATAATCAATATCTTAATCATCTGTAATACTTTTTACTTTTAATCTATATAGAGATCTGATACTTTAGAAATAGAGTTTGCTAAGAATTATTTCTTCGTTAACTAAAAGCTCAATGCAATGGTTATCAAAGATTAAAAATTGCAAAAAAAACTTTCCCCATAAAGTTATAACTCTAGTAAGGATACCTTCAAGTTAATTTTAATTAGCCGCAATGATAATGCTAGGAAATACTGCATCTAGTGCATCAAATACTCTTATGGCTGCAATATTTGTAAATCTATTTCTGCAGATATTTATGAAATTTTCAATGAAATTACTATGGAGAATGATGGCTATATTGCAATTAATAGTTAACTTACCATTATTTGGAATTAATCTTCCAGCGAATGTGATTCAATGTACAAAGGTTCTAATCGACATTTCAACCTTACAAATTATTGATAAAGATTAGATAAAAGCTTGGTTTTTCTCACAGCTATCTGATTCAAATGAGAGCATTAATTAAAATCTAGATGATTTAGATATCTTTTGAACTTTTAATAAAATTATTTTTAAAGGCCTTAATTCTTTCAAGTCTAGGCCATTCAAGTATAATGATTAATATGGGATTTGTATTGATATTTTTGATATTTTTGGGATTAGTTTCAGTTTTACTAATTTTGTTGATTAAATTATCTAAAAAGTTTTCAACGTATTCTCATTGATTTTTAATTGTGTTTTTAGTGTTTAAAAGATATTATAAATTGTAAAGAAGAAGATATTTTTCAGCATGTTTTTAAGACCAGTAATGCAAGGTTATCTAATTTTTAGTACAACTACAGCATTAGGCATTAGTTTGGTATCACTTATACTTTTAATCCTTATTTTAGATAAGCATCTCTCAGTAAAATAACGCTCTTGAAATCCTTACTACCATATTAGTATCAGTTGTAGTCATATCAATTCCATTATTATGCTTGCTATTTTTAATTTAGAATTGAAAATGGCTCAAGTAAAACTCCTTTTAGGAAAAATTTGGTGCTCTTTATCTTGGAATAGACACAAAAAATAGATACCTGATTGCTAGTGTATTCATTTATTTTACTAGATGATTGATATTTGGATATTCTGTCATTCTTTTATCAGATTATGCTTTATTCTAAATAATTTTGACCTTAGTTATGAGTTTATGCTAGATTTATCTTCACATTTAATTTATGCATTTAGACACTATGATTGGAAATGTATTTGAGATTCATAATGAAATATGCCTGCTTTTTATAAATATCTTAATTTTCCCTTTAGCGGATTTAGTAGATGATATTACAGTTAGATATGAAATAGGATGGGTGATTGTTATGATTATCTTATGGATGATATTGATCAATCTAGTTTCTCTTTTTACTTTAATGGGTATTACAATTCTACTTTCTATTTAAAAGAAATGCTCAAAGAAAAATGATAAAACTAATATTACTATCTATCTGGAAAATTAAATTGAAGTAGCGAAAAATTCTTAAAATTAAAATGAAAAAGTATCATCTAGAAACACTATAGAAACTGAAGCAAGATTCTAAAGAGGAAAATTGAGGAAAGCTAAAAAGACTTAGAAGCATTAAGGGGTGGTTAAGAATAAACAGAACTAGAGTTCCTAGAGAAGTGATAAAAACTAAAGTAATAGTGATAAAGAAATGTTATCATATAAAAGTGTTTAGCTATAACCATCTCTTTCAAAATCAGATGTATCTCATGTAGGAAAATCTAAATTCTATAAAAATAAAAGCAAAATTAAGAAGAAAGCAATTGATGATTCATTTACAATTTAAACAAATAACTAGCAGCTTGATAGTACAATCAACATTTTTGATTCTAGTATAAATACTCTAAATTTAACACCTGAAGATATTTCTGATTTTGATGAAACCTTAGCACATAACATTGAAAGGTCAAAAAAATCCGAAGAAATACATAGTGAAGAACTCAAGTAATTTTAACAGAATATTAAGTAGATTTAGAAAAATTAAAATATCGCTATAAGTAAACATTATTAACAATAAGAATTGAAAATTTTATCCGAACTGAAAAGCAAACTAAAATAATATCAAACTCAATGAGAAATAATGATTTAAATTATAGAACTTTTGTATTAATTATTATCAAGAATCTATTAATTTCAATGATATTGCTCATTTGGGGTTTTGGGGTTTTGGGGTTTTGGGGTTTTGGGG